GCACGTTTAAATGCTCTCCACATCCCTCACGCCACCCGGCTTTTTTGAGCAAACCTCTGGTTTATGAGTGTGATTCGCTTCTGAGCTGCTCTTGACATCTCAGATACGTCATTTTCAGAGCAGCTCCCACTGTTTCCTTCTTACTCTCAGACACACCAGAAATGTGTGGTGGTGGAGTGTGATTTTTTTCTGAGCTGCTCTTGACATCTCAGATACGTCATTTTCAGAGCAGTATGCTCCCACTGTTTCCTTCTTACTCTCAGACACACCAGAAATGTGTGGTGGTGGAAATACCAGCTAATGCTCACCCCTGCTCCTACAGCACCTGTTTAATCGGCACGATAAATCGAAATGCCAGGCTATCCCAGAAAGACTAATGAGATTGGATGCATGAGAAATCTGTAACATTAAGGCTCAAAACTGTTTTCATTTCCGCCCTAGACTCATGGATCATTCAAGCAACAGTACTATTAATCTCAGCTCTTGAAAACTGCTGATCTAATTATAGAAGCAAAATTTCAATGTTTTCATCAATTGATATTTTGATGGGGTGAAGAAAGACAACATTTTCCTTTAGCGTCCTATATTCAATGAAAAACTGCCAAACAGACCTGCCAGATTCACCTGGACCCAAGCAGTACTGATTTGTGCCCTTCAGCTTTGGAGGCATCACCTTAAAAAGCCATGCTGTCTGCAAACTTGAAGACAGACAACCTGTGCTTTTAATAATCCAGGTTGATCAGTAACCCAGGTAGCGAGCAGAAACTTGGAAGCCTGGCGAGTTTACTGTCAAGCATTAACTCACTTATTGAAAAGCTCCTTTTTATAGGTCCTGGTAATCTGGTATGATTTTAAAGGCAATACCAGGTCAATGAAATTTGCCTTGTATTCATGCAGTACAAGTAAGGCTTTTGGACCTGACTGTGCAGCAGCCCAAAGGCTAGATTCAACTGCTAATCACATTTCACTTGTACAGGAGTTTTAGCCCAGGAAAATGAGTTATCGGGTTGTTGAACGCTGCGTTTCTTACAGTCATTTTTTGATTCCACCTGGAAGGCTGAAGACAGTATGGATTTCCTGTAACCCTAGCACTGATTTACTGTCTGGAAGAGAGGGAGAAAAGAATAATGCAAATTTTTTTTTTTTGATCACATCGAGTATCTCTAGCTCCACCAAAAACAGGCTTTGTGCCCAAGGAAAGAGTGAGGAAGAAAGTTACAATTTTAAAAATGTTATTTTTCACTGGGTCCTTGTTTCTTTTGTAGCAGAGGTGGAAGCAAATTTTCTTCTGCTGTTGCAGAACCCTGAGAAGTTGTTTGTGGAATCAGTGAAGTTTCCAGGACCCAATTCTCAATTAATGTGTGGAAGAAAACTTAAAGTTATCTATGTGCTTTCTGTATGCTAAAATTGTTCAACAGGACTGTCACACACAGTCCTTGACATTAACTAAGCCAGCCTCACTGCTACTATACTGTACTTTAACTATACAGTAGCCACCATGAGTGTAAAAGCTTTGAGCTAAACATTGCCTCTCCTCAGGTACCTG